GGCACCGATACCGCTACTAATATCGGTATCGGTGCATCCCTAGTTTTTAGAATATAATGCTTTCAGTCCCCAAATACATGCAGTATCGGCTGTCACAGGTTATCACCGTACTGAGATTATTATACGTTTCGAGGCAAAGACTAATAAAGATTCAATATTTGTACGAATAAAAAAACGAAGAATAAAGCAGTATGTTTATACCTGACACTGACTACAGTTGTACCTCGGTTCACGAACGCTTCTGTTCGCGAACAATTCGGTTCGCGAACAGGAAGTTCGTCAAAATTTTCTCTGCATTGGGTGACGAGCACGACCGCGGCCATCTTCCCCACTCTGACACATGGTCGTGGCTTCCTGTACTTGAGATCACAGTTGCGGACAGGGCTGTGGACACTTACAGTGAAGCTTTTTTGTGTGCTTTGTAGCACAGTACTGTACATTACTGTATTCAATCCAGCATGGCTCCCAAGAAAGTGCAGAGCAAGCATGGTGGGGGGAAAAAAGCGCAGAGCATTAATGAAGGTGAGAAGAATGTGCAGAGCATTAATGAAGGTGAGAAGAATGTGTGGAGCGTTAATGAAGGTGAGAATAATGTGCAGAGCGTTAATGAAGGTGAGAATAATGTGCAGAGCGTTAATGAAGGTGACAAGAATGTGCAGAGCGTTAATGAAGGTGACAAGAATGTGCAGAGCGTTAATGAAGGTGAGAAGAATGTGCAGAGCGTTAATGAAGGTGACAAGAATGTGCAGAGCGTTATTGAAGGTGGCAAGAATGTGCAGAGCGTTAATGAAGGTGACAAGAATGTGCAGAGCGTTAATGAAGGTGAGAAGAATGTGCAGAGCGTTAATGAAGGTGACAAGAATGTATTGAAGGTGACAAGAATGTGCAGGGCGTTATTGAAGGTGGCAAGGATTTGCAGAGCAAGAATGGTAACAAGAAGGTTTTGAAGAAAATAACCATTGAATTGAAGAAGGAAATTGTAGAAAAGCATGATCGTGGTATTTGTGTGACTAATCTGGCCCCCGGAGTACAATATGGTGAAGTCGACCATCTCGACTATTTTGAATAATAAAGATGCCATCAAGAACCCCATTATCGTCACAAGCAGCTGATGTGGCAAAAGGAGTAACCATGTTAACCAAGCAGAGGACACAAGTACTGGAAGAGGTGGAAAAACTTCTGTTAGTGTGGTTGAATGAGAAAAAGCTGGCAGGTGATAGTGTTAGTGAAGCTATGATCTGTGAAAAAGACAGGAAATTGCACAGTGATTTGCTGCAGCAAAACCCCTCTACAAGTTCATCTAGTGATGAATTTAAAGCCAGTAGAGGGTGGTTTGAAAAATTCCGCAAGAGAAGTGGATACCACAGTATGATAAGACATGGTAAGGCTTCCAGTTCTGACAAGGCCGCTGCAGAAGCCTACAAGAAAGACTTTGCGGAATTCATGAAGGCAGAAGGATACGTCGCTCAACAAGTGTTCAACTGCGATGAAACAGGGCTCTTTTGGAAGAAGCTGCTGAACAGAACCTATATCACGAAGGAGGAGAAGGCACTGCTGGGGTTCAAGCCCATGAAGAACAGATTTACCCTTTTGCTGTGTTCGAACGCAAGCGCCGATCTGAAGATTAAGCCACTACTGGTGTACCATTCCCAGACCCCCTCGTGCATTCAAGGAACAGAATGTGAACAAGGCCAGACTGCCTGTCATGTGGAGGGCCAATGCGAAAGCTTGGGTCACAAGGCAATTGTTCATGGAATGGCTGCACGAAGTGTTCGCACCCACCATTAAAAAATATATTTTTGACAACCATCTGCCTTCTTCTGATGGACAATGCCCTGGCACACCCTCCAGCCTTGGTGGATGATATGGACACTGAGTAAAGGTCAAGTTCCTCCCCCCCAACACGACACCTCTTCTGCAGCCCATGGACCAGCAAGTGATCTGCAACTTCAAGAAGCTGTACACAAAGGAGCTCTTCAACAGGTGTTTTCAATGTCACTGAAGAGACGTCTTTGACTCTGAAAGAGTTCTGGTAGAAAACATTTCAATATCCTCCACTGCATCAACCTCATTGACAAAGCCTGGGAAGATGTCACGTACCGGAACTTGAACTCAGCCTGGAGGAAACTGTGGCCAGAATGTGTCACTGAATGTGACTTGGAAGAGTCTGATGCACAGGTAGTGGAGGAGATTGTGGGCAAGACTATGGGTCTGGACGTCGATGGTGCAGACATAGAGGAGCTTGTTGAGGACCATAAGGAGGAGCTCACGATGCAAGAACTTGCTGAACTCCAGAGTGAGCAGCAGAAGGCACTTGTTGAGAAACATTCCACAGAGGAAGAGGAAGACAGGGAGGAGGTTAGCAGTTATGTGATAAAATCCATAATGGAAAAATGGAATGAGAAGCACCACCCCACCATAACTGTGACGAACAGGGTCTTAAATCTGATGAACGACAACGTGGTCTCTCATTTCCGGAGGGTTCTGCAGCGCAGGAAAAAACAAGTGACATTAGACAGATTTTTTACAAAAATTGACCCTGCAGCTAAGAGACAAAGAAGAGAGGAAACCCCTGAAGGAGATCTCCCTGGTGTCCTTACCCTCCTCCCCACCCACCATTTTGTCCTCAATGCCAGAAGTCGCCCCAAGAAAGGTTAGTGTTCACTCTCTTTGTACTGTACTGTGCTTTGTTTCATATTTTTGTGGTTACATTTTTTTTTTCCAAATATGATTCAGAACAGATTAACCTGATTTACATTGAACCCTATGGGAAAATGTGATTCGGTTCGCAACTAAAAATCAGTTCGCGACCACGTTCGTAGGGGTCAGAACGGATTAACCTGATATACATTGAACCCTAAGGTAAAATGTGATTCGGTTCGCGACCATTTCGGTTCGCGACCAGAAACGTGGAACCAATTAAGTTCGTGAACCGAGGTACCACTCTATGTTAAAGTGGGCTTTGTATCAGATACATTTCTAGTGTAATCCTGGTGACAGTATTTATAATTATCTGACACAGATTAGCCCGTGTTACTGCCCCTCATCCCTCATCTTGTACGTTGTAAAATACCTGAACAATCTGATTGGGTGCAGGCATTGTTCAGGTGTTTTGAGAGCCAGTGGGGCCGACAAGCAAGACACTGAAGCTTGGCCCAGTGGGAGATTCCTCCATCCACACAGGTTAGCGTAGATGGGGGAATCTGTTGCACTTTTTCCATCTGACCACAGAACCTCTGCAGATAATCTATAGGTGTATGACCAGCTTTAGAAAATGCTTACTCGGGCCTATAGCAGTTAATGACATCATCTCAGCCTAGGACAGCGATGGCGAACCTTTTTGAGCCCGAGTGCCCAAACTGGATCACTAAACCAACGTACGTGTCTCAAAGTGCCAACCCCGCACTTCGACCCAAATACTGATGGTTTCATGTGTATGGGCTGGAGGGGGGATGGGCTGTGCAGCATCCAGGTCATCTAAAAGTGGTGGTCCTTAAGTGGTCTCTAAGGAGGGCTATGCGGCTCCTAAGGGCAGATCCAGCTTTCTAATTAGACGGCTGCTCGCTGCTGGCTAGGGCCCTGTGAGGCCCCAGCGAGCAGCCATCTAATATGCTCTCCTATGTCTGAGGTAATGGTGCCAATGCTAGAGCGCGTGCGCCTCACATACCTTGTAAGTCGTTGACGCCACTGCGCCTGTGCGGCTCCTCGTCTCGTCCTCAGTGCGCTTGCGCAGCAGCAGATGACAACGTCTCCGAAGCGCCTGCATTTCCATCAGTGAACTTTGAAACATTACGGCGGACCTGGGCTCGCGTGCCAGCAGAAACGGCCCCGTGTGCCCGCTCTGGCACGCATGCCATAGGTTCGCCAGCGCTGGCCTAGCAAGATACCTGACTGGTATTCTAGAAATGCTTTTTAAAGAACTTTTTGTTTGTTAACCCTTGCACTGGGGCGAAGAAATCCAAATGTACATTTAACGAAAATTCAAACCCGTCCGAATTTCATTACATTTTTTTGGCTGTTGCATTCCAGGCATGGTCATGTGACTTCCTGTTGTGGAGTAGAGAGAGTCAATCCAAAAAATAATTAAGTTAATTTTTAACTAAAGAACCCGTTCTGAATAGATCCGAAACGATAATGCAGATCATTCCAAATCCGAAAAACAATAAGAATCAGAATCGATCAGAAACGAAGCAAATTTTTTGCGGGGTTACATGTCTAAATTTAATACCATGTTTCATGTTACAACCGTATTCAGGGTGTACAACATGGTCACATCGCCAGCCCCCCATCCCATCCCCCACTTAGCTGAATTGCAGGGTTCTTCTCCCCACATGCTCCTGTTAGGTTTTTTTTTATTTGTATGTAGCTCCGCCCACACAGCTGCGTCATCCATTCACAAATCCTTAGACAGGATCTGTGAATGGGGAGACTATCAGTCCCATCAGCCACAGCGACAGAGGCACTTGTAGTCTTCCATGGAATACAAGTTGTACTTTACTCATTCTTCCTCCCACCCATGTTACTAAATGTCTATAGTGAGGTAAGGACATGGACGGGCGGAAGAGTCTGCAACAGCCAGAGAATTGCACCCTCCATTCACTGATCACCGGTGCAATGGTTTACTGGCTCCAATGCAATCCAATGACTGCACATTTCTTCATGTCTGTAAAAGGTGGACTTTGCCTTTAAGAGTTTATGTTGTGCTATAAAAGCCAATACACAGGAACTTATGGAATAAAGGTATTTTCCTGTTGTGCCAAACGCGGAAAACCCCCACAATTATTGTAAAGGTTTTATTCATAAAAGTTACAATTTAGATTAATTCAGGCGTCAACGCCAACAATGTGTATAGTAGATCATGTGACTTGCAATAAACCATGCAGCAACAATAACATTGGGCTGAAAGCCAATTCCTCCTGCAGATGAAGGTGTGACCATGTGGAAGGTACTAGGCTGGGCTCCTCGTACCTGTGTATATATATATATACTGTATGGAATACCTGCTGAGACAGGCACGCTGCTCCACACTCTGTGGATTCCACAATGACAGCTCTCAGACTGGTTTCTCTCTTCCTCTGTGTCTTGTATCTCACTGAAGGTAAGACTTTTACTGCTTCCTATGTAACACTATCCAAGGTAATGGGGCTGATGTACTAGAGGCAAATCGGCTGTGCACTTTGCAAGGGGGATTTGCACTTTGCAAGGGAAGTTTCACCATAGTTTATTAAATGTGGAGAAGCTTTGCTGACTTCCATCATCCAATCATGTGCAAGAAAAAATACTGTTTTAGTTTTCTTTTTCCTTGCTCGTGATTGAGTATTCTTTGCAAAGTGAACTTTCACCTTATTCACCAAGCTATAGGGAAACGTGTCTACTTGTGTTTAGTAAATCAAACCCGATGTGTCCCCAAGACCAGGGTGCTGGTCTCATTAGATCAAGAAGTAGCTTGCTGCTGAGTCTGGCAATATCCTAATTAATGATTAATAAGTGCACTTTGGGTCATCTGGTATAACGATCTGATATGTGAAAGAAAAGAAAAGGACTGTGAACTGCAGACTGTGAACTAGAAGCCAAAACTGATCTTCCGCTGCTGATTAGTGCGATGTTGCTTAAAGAGTAAGTTGTATTTCTAACATAGTTTCAGCCTGCTCTGCAATATTATGATCTGCGTCACATGGGGGAGATGGACGTCTACCTCCAAGTCCTAAGAATTTGTCCATAAGGTACCCATGGACATAGGATGGAGGTCTGAACATGAGAAAGTTGGGGTATATACATTGCTGATCATAACAGACAAGTTTGTCTATTTTTGTCCTCTGTGCACCCCTGCAGCACTGGTGTGGAGCATATTCCTCTTGCACGACATCAACTATGTGGTGAAGAGGTCGCTGCACGCATTTCTGACGGGTCACAGTGTATCACATTGATGAGATATGCCACCAGCACACCAAGAAGCTTGTTTCAGAATGAAACGCTCTTTATTCTTGTATAATCACATATAAAAGCAGGGCAGTGCAGGGACCCTTCCTCAGGCATGTGGTTATATCTCCTTTGCACACCATACTGATGTACTCCTTTTACATGGGTGCTGGAACAACTTGTGATTGGTGCCACAGCGTACTGAAAAAGAATATGTCGTCCACACACCTTTTAGGTTCAGAACCTCATTGATGATTTTGAAGAAAAGATTCCAAACATTTCGGAAAACTTGCAGGGTCCCTTATTCAGGCAAAGTGTCAATGCCTGACATAGGGACCCTGCGCAGTGGCAAACATTGCTTCCTCAGGCATGGTCTCTTCTCAGGCTTACAATAGCAATCAAATGGAAAAATCCAGCCAGGCTGAGCAATCCCATGAGATCCATTGACTTCCCATGAGATACATTCATTTCCCATGAGATCCACTGACTTCCCATGAGATACATTCATTTCCCATGAGATCCACTGACTTCCCATGAGATACATTCATTTCCCATGAGATCCACTGACTTCCCATGAGATACATTCATTTCCCATGAGATCCACTGACTTACCATGAGATTCATTAATTTCCCATGAGATACATTGACTTACCATGAGATCCATTAATTTCCTTTGAGATCCATTAATTTCCTATGAGATTCATTCATTTCCCATGCGATCCATTGACTTCCCATGAGATCCATTCATTTCCCATCCGATCCATTGACATCCCATGAGATCCAGTCATTTCCCATGAGATCTATTGCTGCAGCAAATCAGGACGAACCTACAGACACGCATTAATTTCCTATCCAGCCACCTTAAGTCTCATTTATTACAGAGGGTAACAGAGGATAACAGAGGATAGGATGAGACGTCAGCCTGCCAAGAACAAGTGGGTTTTTGTGGATGGAGTTATTAGGGGGATTTTAAGGAACACAGAGACAAAAACGGATACAGTCCTTGAAAATCACCCATAGTTACCAAATATGATTGTAGATTAGCATATGCAGTAAACAATCACAAAGACTGTATTTGGTCATAAAGAGGGGAGGAGGGGTGATCCTGGACTTTAAATATACGAGTGTTACCTTTAAATCTCCATCAAGCGTACAGTATTTCAGTTCATATCAGGATTTTAAATATGCTATGAGGGCATACCTCCCAACTGGCAGTCATTTTGAACCAAATCTCTCTGTCCATCTCTCCTCAGTTGCCCCCTTTTTTGGTCTGATATACAGATACAGTATCTATGAATATGTATTTTTTAAAGTGATATTAAAGTCAAAAGGTTTTTAAGTTATTTCAATGCCTGATTAATCAATACCATGGATGCTGCTTCCAGATATTAAAAAGTTTTCGTTTCCTGCAGAATCAGTTGGTCCCCTAAGCACAGGTCCTGATATTCTGTTTTAGCGTGACTTCTTTCCTTTGCAAGGTCCTACGCAGTCACCATTGTGGGTGCTAGTTAGCTGTCTGTGTATCCACAGACACATAGACAAAGCAAGGCAAGACAATCCCCTCCCTCCTACTACTCCCTTCACCCTTCTCCAAGCTAGTAGATGGACAGTTGCTGGAGTCTGCTCTGTCCCTTGTGATTTTTGTACCGGACAGAAAGTTCAGGGAATCAGAGCTGAGAGAGTTGGAGCTGTTTGGAAAAATGATGACTGTAAGTATTTGGGCAAAAATATAAAGAAATACTTTGCGCGGTGATGTATATTTGATTTAGATTCATCACTGAAAAGAAAGTTTGAGTACTTAATACTTCTTTAAAGGAGAACTATGAGGTGAGTGAAAATTACCCATCCTCATAGTTCGAGCCGACGTGTGGCAATGAAGCTGTCACACGGCGGCTCAATAGATCTGGAAGTGTGAGAACACATACCGTCGCTCGCACACTTCTCGATCATCTCCCTGCAGAGAGAGGTGACTGTCATTCGCAGAGATTCCCCCCTCCATGCTCCGATCCTCCAGTGCTGAGTGGAGGAACGGACGGGGGAGGGCACAGCTGGCTCTGCTTCTAGATAGGCAGAACCCGCTGTCAATCACGCAGCTGGGTGGATCTTGACAGCATTGTCGGGGTCCGTCCCGGCTGCGGCGGCCTCAGTATATCGCAAGCTGTAGCTCGCTATATGTTGAGCTTTGGGTCACAGGAGGAGGTTAGTATATGTCCTCCCGTGACCCTTAGGAGAACTATGGGGAAAAACACTTACCTCATAGTTCTCTTTTAACTACCAAAACTTATTTTCTGCACTTAAGCCTTCATCTTCTCGTGTTCATTTTTAAAGAGCACCAATGTGCCTTTCAATAACAGTTTTTTGGTCCATGGATGTGGGTTGAGGGCCCATGGGAAAGAAATGAGTGAAAACATCGCCGGAACCTTCCAATCATTAATTTAGCCTATTTTAATATTTGAAAAATATTCTGAAATTAGGTAGGTGGGAATTCTTTTTCAACAATCTATATACTGGAACAAAAAATATAGCGAGGATAAGACTCTTACATCTGTATAAAAGAATTGTGACAACCATATTTTTACTCGCACACTTTTTTTTTTTTTTTGTTTAAGAATCTCGTCAGGAGTCAGGACTAAAATAACTGTATTGTCAAATATGTCCAAGCCATAAGAGCATTGACCTATTGCAGTGACGTGCGGTACCTCTTCTTCCAGATGAGGTATTCCCCAGCCTCGTCCCTAGCATGTCCCACCCAGCCCCCGCCAGCCGAAGCCCCGTCCCCAACTGGTCCTCAAGCTAGTGTGAAGGAGGGAGGGAGGAGCCTCCCTATCCCTCACTTGCTCGTCACTGCTGAGACATCAAGATCGATGGCCTCAGTGTTTTGTTTTGTTTTTTTGATTGGGCAGCTTGCACTAATGGTGCTTTGCCATTGGTCCAAGCCATCCACAGAGCTCACGCCTCTAACAAAGAGTAGAGACTGTGACAGCTCTTGCCTCAATAGTTAGGTTACAGAAGCAGTGGGGAAGCCCGCTGCAGTGTAACCTAACTACCTGTCAAAAGCCGGATGCAGCGCTGCCTGTATTTTAACAGGGCATGCTTCGTCCATGACAGGTTACACAGCGGGGAGGCTTTCCATGCTGTGTAACCTGTTAAATGCCAATCTGAATGGAGAAAAAACCGTCAGCTTCAGACTTGAAGCTGAAAGCTTTTTCCTCCATAGTTCTAGGTATGGCTCTGCCTAACCTGTCTCCCCTGACCGCACATCCCTGACCTATTGTGAATGTTACATAGTAGGTAAAAAGGTTTGTGAGACACTTGTCCGTATTCATGAAGCAAAACTCACGTAATGCTTTAGTATCCGGTATTAGAATCCTACTAGCTGTAGAGGCTGTGTCTAGTAATAAAGGTGCCAAATTCACATTTAAATAGACTTGGGACAGGCCTGGGCAATTTAAACTAACCATAAAACAAGAAACACGTACATTATGATTGGTTACACTTGGTGACTACATGTCAAAGAGATGTGTAAATCCGAAGATAAAGGCAGCTGAAGTTGTGTGCAAGTCCTTACTTTTTCTATAATGAAGAAACTTGGCCCTGCCCTCACTTACCGCCCGATGCTCCCTATTGGACACCCATAGAGAGGCTTGGAGGTGGAGTTTTTTTTAACAATATTCGTCAAGTCTCTGATGGAATTATTGAGATTTTTGCATATGATGATTTGTAGGAAAATCTAGCAGTGTATGGGCAGCTTAGGCTTATAGCTCTACCTCTAGACTTAACGAGGATTTAACCCTTGCTTTTAGGGGTATTGTAGTCCACTGCACTTCAACCTCATAAAAAGAAGGCTCAATAAAATGGACTGCTGCATATACAGAGTATAGTGACCTAGAATATTTTACATCCTCTCGGTCAGGGCCATCCCTTCACTTTGAGGCGGGTGGGCCGGGTTATTGTGTTGCATGTTGTGAGGGGTGGTGG